AGTGGTCCAGGCAGAAGGAATGACAGATGAAAGGGCCCCGAGACTGGTGTGGGATGGACAGGTCTGGTGATAAGACCATTGTGGCTAGAGACCAAAGAGTGATAGAGGAGGAGGGTGGGATGCAGTGAGGACGTTGGCTTTGGCTCTAAGGGAACGGGAAGTGAGAGGGTTCTGAGCAAAGGAGGGATGTGATCTGATTCCTGTTTATAGGTTCCCTCTGTGGGATAAAAAGGACTGAGGGGAGTGTAAGTGAAAGGAAAGAGAACTCTGACCCTCCACACAGCTCAGCGGGGGCGGGGAAGGTTTGTGTGTGTCATGCTTACTGATTAAACATGTGGCCAATCAGCAGCAGCCCCTGGATTTGAACCCGTGTCTATGTGACTCCAGTGCCACTGGGTAAATTATCATTTACTGGGTACCTATGCGCCTGTGACTCCAGGGGGTTAGAGACCTTAATACAATGGAAGTGCTCTCTCTGTTTCTGATAATACCTCGGCAACAGGGCAATGAGAAGGAATTCACTTTCGAAACATGTATTGAGCCCCTACTGTGTTATAAGTGTGAGGCGGCATGCTGGGCTATAGCAGGGAACAAAAGGAAGCAAAATTTCTTTTTGCCTTGGAACCTGGCTGGCATGGCTCAGTGGTTGAGCATCAACTTATGAACCAGGAGGTTGTGGTTCGATTACCAGTCAGGGCACATGCCAGAGTTGCTGGCTTGATCCTCAGTAGAAGGCATGCAGGAAGCAGCCAATCAATGATTCTCTCCATCATTAATGTTTCTGTCTCGCTCTCACTCTCCTTTCCTCTATGAAATCAGTATCTCTATATATATAAAAGCCTAAGTGACCAAATGACCAAATGACAGGTTGACTGGTTGCTACGATGGGCACTGACCACCAGGAGACAGATGCTCAATGCACAGGATTGGGCTCCCTCCTGTATGGATCAGGCCTATGTGGATCAGGCTGAAACTGGCTCTCTGACATCCCCTGAGGAGTCCCGGATTGCAAGAGGGCACAGGCCAAGCCAAGGGACCCCACCAGTGCATGAATCTGTAGACTGCAAAGACCTACTCTTGCATGAATTTCATGCAACGGGCCTCTAGTATATATATATATATATATATATATATATATATATATATATATATATATATATATATGTATATGTGTGTGTGTGTGTGTGTGTGTGTGTGTATGTATATGTATATATAAAAAATTTCTACCCTGGAGTAGTTTATACTTTAATAGAGAAAACAGACAAAAAGCATTAAAAAGGGGGAGGATTGCCCTAGCCCCCTGGTCGGCAAACTGTGGCTTGTGAGTCACATGTGGCTCTTTGGCCCCATGAGTGTGGCTCTTCTATAAAATACCACAGCCTGGGCGACTCTATTTTGAAGAAGTGGCGTTAGAAGAAGTTTAAGTTTTAAAAATTTGGCTCTCAAAAGAAATTTCAGTCATTGTACTGTTATTTGGCTCTGTTGACCAATGACCACTGCCCTAGCCAATTTGGCTCGCTGAATATAGTGTAAGCCTGGGGACTGAAGGGTTCAATTCCAGTCAAGGACACATGCCCGGGTTGAGGACTTGATCCCCAGTGGAAGCAGCCAATCAATGATTCTCTCTCATCATTGATACTTCTATGTCTCTCTCTCTTCCTTCCTCTCTGAAATCAATAAAAATATATTTAAAAAATAATAATAAATAAAAAGGGGAGGGTTACGTAGGATTTTAAAACATACTAGTAAATACTGATGGGAAAAAATGGGGCAAGATAAGGGAGTCAAAAGGGCAAGGGTGGAGACCACAATTTTAAAAAGGGTGGTCAGCCCTAGCTGGTTTGGCTCAGTGGATAGAGTGTCAGTCTGTAGACTGAAGGGTCCTTGGTTTGATTCCAGTCAAGGGCATATGCCCAGGTTGTGGGCTTGACCCTCAGTGTGGGGTGTGCAGGAGGTAGCCGATCATTGATTTTCATTATTAGTGTTTCTATCTCTCTTTTCCTCTGTGAAATCAATAATATATATATATATATATATATATATATATATATATATACACATACACATTTTTATATATTTATTTTTTTAATTTTTTTATCTCAATGAGAGAGAATCATTGATTGGCTGCCTCTTGTATGCCCCCTACTGGGGATTGAGCCCAAAACTCAGGCATGTGCCGTTGGCACATGCTCTATGCTCTATCCACTGAGCCAAGCCGGCTAGGGCAATAAAATATATATTTTTTAAATAAAATAAAAAGGGTGGTCAATAGAAAAAGACAAAAAAATATCGCCGAAACCTGTTTGGCTCAATGGATAGAGCGTCGGCCTGCGGACTGAAAGGTCCCAGGTTCAATTCCGGTCAAGGGCATGTACATTGTTTGCGGGCACATCCCTGGTAGGGGGTGTGCAGGAGGCAGCTAATCCATGATCCTCTCTCATCGATGTTTCTAACTTTCTATCCCTCTCTCCTCCTCTCTGTAAAAAAATCAATAAAATATATTTTAAAAAAATATGGTGGTCAAGACAGGCTTCTTGCTAGAGGTGACCTTTGAAAAACGAATCCAAGGAAGTGAGGGATGAAGCCATGTGGAGCTCTGGGAAAAGTATGCTCTAAGCAGAAGAGACAGTGTGGAATGTTAAACGCACATCTACAATTATTCTTTCAGGGAGATTCTTGCAAAGACCCTAAAGTGGGTTCAACATAAGTGAAGGAGCTGACAACCAAAGCATGCAGCCATTGGAAGATTCAGGTCCCAGCCCTCTCACACTCTACTCATTTCCAGGCTTAGTAAATTCTGTTCTCTCAGCCCGTTTCTTCTCTGGACAAACTGCCAATGGACCCTCAACCCTTAACTCCCCGGTTACAGCTTCAGAGAAGCCAATCTGAGACCTCATCCCACAGACCCTGAAGACCCCTCCCCCCAATTCCAAACCCTCAGCCTTCTCCGCTGGACTATATCTCAAGGGTGTCTACTGGATTTACTCCCGTGGTATACAGTAGGTGCCTAATACAATCATTAAGCAACAAAGTGCCATTCCATCATTCATCACAAAAAATCTTAACTCCCCTGGCAATCTGCCTGTAAAATCAAACTGGTTCTGAGAGGAGACACACAGCTGTTTGTGGTGGTGACTTCTGGGAAGGGAACTGAGTTGGGGTCAGGGGACAGAGGTTAGAGAAAACAGATTTTTTCGTGCTAGTTACCTTTTTTGTAGTTTTTGAAAATTTCTTTACCACGTGCAAATTACCAACACAAACATAAAATGAATAAATAGAATTCTACAAAACAAAGGACTAAAAGACTTTTTTAAACTGCAAAGAATGTGGAATTTTAAACACATGTTCACATTTGTTTTTAAATATAGTTTATTGATTTTTTTTATGGAAAGGAAGAGAGAGGGATAGAGAGTTAGAAACATCGATGAGAGAATCATCAATCAGCTGCCTCTTGCACACCCCCTACTGGGGATGTGCCCGCAACCAAGGTACATGCCCTTAACCAGAATCGAACCCAGGACCTTTCAGTCTGCAGGCTGACGCTCTATCCACTGAGCCAAACCGGTTTTGGCACGTTCACATTTTTTATTCTTGCAGGGATAGAGTACACAATGAAATACATTGTAAGTTTTAATTAATACTTCATACAAATATTCATATGATATATATCAGATAAAAAGAAAAAAAGAGAAAGCCTGTATCTTTAGCTCGTCTTTCAAATCCTCCAGGGTCCACCCTCATCCCTTCCTTGGCTCTTGTCTCATTTTAATGACAAAATTCGCCTTTAATAATAATGATAATAGTCGGGACCGGTTTGGCTCAGTGGATAGAGTGTCAGCCTGTGGACTGAAAGGTCCCAGGTTCGATTCCAGTCAAGGGCATGTACCTTGGTTGTGGGCACATCCCCAGTGGGGGGTGCGGGTTGCAAGAGGCGGCTGATCGTTGATTCTCTCTCATCGATGTTTCTAACTCACTATCCCTCTCTCTTCCTCTCTGTGAAAAAACAATAAAATATATTTTAAAAAATGATAATAATGTGATGTATTAAGTTTTCACCTTGTGACAAGCATGAAACGTTTTGCCTCCATTTATTTCATTAAAGTCCTACAACCGCCCCATTTTCCAGATAGGAAAACTGACAGAGGTCCGTCCAGACCTCTACGCCCTGGTGACCAGGCCTGACCAGGAAGGGAAGGCTGCTATGGGCTCGTAGCGCCCCTGGAGGTCGTGCAGGGAACGTGGCAGAGAATTTATAAATGAGCATTTGGATTACGATGGGGGTCTCTGGACTCTCCGCATTGCTTTCTCCTTGGAGAACCCTGGCAGTGCTCTGACGGGACAGGAACCTGGCCTGGGCGGGCGGGAGACACAGACCTACTCTGAGGGGATTGGGTGACAGGGAGGGGGAGACACCCATCGCTGGGGAATCTAAGCGGATAGGCACTGCCCTGCAGGCTCAATCCTGAGGGCTTTCTGTAGAAAGTAAGACCCCGCAAGTACACTAACAAGCAAGACCTCTTTGAAAAGCCATCGGGGAGTCTAGGAGGCTAATGGGGGGCGGGGCCGGGAGGTCGTGGCTTCCACCAGATGCGTAAAAGCTACTGGTCACGTTCCCTTTCAGTGGTCCGCAGACTGTGGCTCGCGAGTCACACGCGGCTCTTTGGCCCCTTGAGTGTGGCTCTTCCGAGGCCTGGGCGAGTCTATTTTGAAGAAGTGGCGTTAGAAGAAGTTTAAGTTTAAAAATTTGGCTCTCAAAAGAAATTTCAATCGTTGTACTGTTGCTATTTGGCTCTGTGGATTGATGAGTTTGCCGACCATTGCTAAGTGTCCCCCCCAGAACCGCCCAGCCATGGGCGGGCCGCTTTTCCAGACTTAAAGCCCATTGGCTGAACGAGCACAGGCTCTTCCAGGGGGAGGGTGGCCTGGGGGGCTCCATGCTGTGGGGTCGCGTTTCCAGGGGGCCCTTTAGGCCAGGAATGGAAACGGGGGTCCTGGGATGGCGGTGGGGTCTCAGCGTCCTCACTCTTGCACGCTCGGCTTTTCGGCCCCGAATGGGGGCGGAGCCGGCGGCGGCGCGGGCGTGACGTCATCACCAGGCGCCGCGCGCAGAGGGAGCCCTGACCTCGGGGCGCGCGGAGCTGCGGAGCAATGTTGCGGCTGGTCCGGGCCGGGGCGCGGGCCTGGCTCCCGCCCACCCGCTGCCAGGTGAGGCCGGGACTGGGAGTGGGGTCGAAGGGCCAAGGTTGGCGGGTGCAGGGGTCGTCTCTCATTCTCGCCCACCGTTTACAGCGGCTGAGCGTGCTGGCGGAAGAGGCAGCGCAGCCACCGGAGAAGCCGGAGCCGGTGGCGAGCCCGGGTGAGATTGCTGGGGTCTTGGGGCGGCAACAGGGAGCTCGAACCCTTTCCCCAGACCCCTGACTTACCAATTGCTTCAGGTCCCCAGGCACCGGTGCTGCGAAAGTGCGAGCTCCCCGTGCCCTCACACCGGCGTCCGGTGCAGGCCTGGGTCGAGTCCCTGCGGGGCTTCGAGCAGGAGCGCGTAGGTCTGGCCGAGCTGCACCCCGACGTTTTCTCCACGGCGCCCAGGTGAACTGCGAGCCGAAATGGTGAACTGGGTGGCAAAGGGACAGGGAGCGCGGGTTTAGGAATCAGGTTGACCTGGGCTGGAGCCTCAGGTTCTCCACCTCTCCAAAGGGGATGATGATAGCTTTGCGCAGTGGCAATGAGTTTTATCCGAGGCGCGAATTGAAAAAAAAAAAAAAAAGAAGAAGAAGAAGAAAGAAGAAGGAAAAAGCAGGGGGGGATGATTTTTTCCCTCCTGCATGGTAGTGAGGTTGGGAGCTGAGGGTAACAGCCTCTAGGCCAGTTAAGGATGCAGAACTCCAGAGTTTGCAGGGCTTGGGGATGCAGAGCCTTTCCAATCCTGCCTTCCCCCATTCTGTCAGACTTCCGGAGGCTGCCCTGATGATTAGATGAGATGCTTCCGGCACATAAGTTCAGTAGAAATGTTGATTATCGTTGCTGTTACTGGTGTTTGCAAAAATCGGTTACTAGCAGTGTCTAAATCCTTTCTGTGTGCCTGGTACAGCCTATTTGCATTTTAGTTAACTAGATCTCATAGCAACACTAGGAAGGCGATCTGTTATCCTCGTTTTGTAGATAAGGAAACTGAACACAGACAGATTAAGAAGTTGGCCCAAGGTCACACAGCTTGTAAGCTTTAAAGCCAGGATCTCAATCTTATGTGCACCAACTCCCAGGGCTGGGGTATTGCTTGCCCAGCTGTATGATGCTCCTCATGTGAATGGTGTCTGGTACCATAATAGATGCTATTAATTCACCCCTCTTAGTGTTATTGATTTGGTTTGCCCCTGCCTGAACAGAGTCCTCATCTAATAGAGGGTAACAAAGAAATTTTAAAACAACATATTCTGTTCTGTAAATATTTATCAAGCACCTACTGTAATAGGTAGTGAATGAACACTGATGTTGCTTACAATCTAGAGCACATGTGTCAAACACAAGGCCCGCGGGCCAAATTCGTCCCGCCAGGCCTTGCAATGTGGCCCGCACTGCGCTGTCATCACTGCACTCCGCTGCGTTTCCATCACAATGACAGTTTATGACTGTTCAGTAAACCATTCGGCCCGCGATTTAGGCTGGATTTTAGATTTTGGCCCCTTCTCTGATTGAGTTCGACACCCCTAATCTAGAGGAAGGGTCAGCAAACTTTTTCGGTAAAGGGTCAGATAGTAAATACTTTAGGTTTTGCAACTATCATCTCCATGGCAACTATTGATCTCTAGCAATGTAGTGCAAAAAGCAGCCATAGATGATACATAAGCAAATGATCATGGCTGTGTTCCAGTAAAACATATTTACAAAAAGAGGCAGCAGGCCAGATTTGGCCTATTAGCCATAGTTTTCCAACCCCTGGCACACCGTTACCCTGGCAGCTGTGTGCAGGGTAGCCACATAATGTGAGCCTCATCTCATGCAATTTAAAATCTGCTAGTCACATTTTTCACAACAACGGGAAGAAACAAGTGAGATTGCTTTCAATATAATTTATTTAACCTGATGTAGCTAAAATGTTGTCATTTTAACACGTGGCACTGCCCACATTTTAGGTGTTCAGTAGCCACACATGTGGCCAGTGTCTACTGTGTGGGACAGGGCAGGTTTAAAGAGTCAAACCAGTTCACAGAGAAGGTGGCATTCAGTTAGCCGTAATGGTAGGAAAGAAGGAAGGTGTAGCTCTCTCTTTTGCAAGGGAGCTTCTCTGGGTGATAACGTTTGGGCCGAGACCTGTAGGCTGAGAAGGAACCAGTCAGGGGAAGAGCGTTTCGCTCAGAAGGAACAGCAAATGCAAAGACCTGGAGGCCAGACTCCATTTCACAGAATGGAATGGAGGGCAGTGTGTAGACCTGGGGTCAAAGAAAGGCTGAGGCAGACCACACAGAGCCCTGGCGGGGGAAGAGAGGAGCCTGGGTTTTCATCTAGTGGGTGGGGACTGGGGGAAGGTTTTAAGCTGACGGAGACCTCTCGCGTCTCCTTCCTCCACAGGCTGGATATCCTGCACCAGGTCGCCATCTGGCAGAAGAACTTCAAGAGAATTGTGAGTGTCCTGCGTGGGGTGAGGTGGAAGCCCCTCAGGGTGTTGTCTCGAGACTACTGGGCTTGGGCCCATCTCTCTCTCCTGACCATCCACTGGCGGGTCATTTGCTGAGCATTTTCTGAACGCCCTCTGTGCCCTGGGCATGGTGCCAGAGGATGGGACAGGAGAGATTCCTGCCCTCATGAAGCTTACAGCTTAGTCGGAGAGGTGAACGTGAATCAAGTAGTGATAATCTGTAAATGTATGGTTAGGGAAGTTATCCCACAGAAAGGGATATTTAACCTCAGGTCTGCAGTAAGAGTAACTAGGTGAGCCCAGCCGACGTGGCTCAGTGGTTGAGTGTTGACCCAGGAACCAGGAGGTCACGGTTAGATTCCCGGTCAGGGCACATGTCCGGGTTGTGGGTTCAATTCCCAGTGTGGGGTGTGTAGGAGGCAGCTGACCAATAATGCTCTCTCATTGATGTTTCTATCTCTCTATCCCTCTCCCTTTTCTGAAATCAATAAAATAAATATATTTTTTAAAAGGAACTAGGTGAAGGGAACAGTGGGGCTGGGGTGGAGGTAGTGGGGACAGCATATGCAAATGCCCTATGGCAGGGGCCAAAAACAGCCCAGTGGAGCTTAGAGGTCAGCAGGAGTCATGGTGAAGACCAAGGTTGAAGAAGCCATCGTCAGTCAGGATCTCTGCCTTCCATCTGCCCACCTCCGAAGTTTAACGAGTTCTCCCCCTGTCCACACCCTCCCTGGCTCCTTGTTGCTCTAGGAATGAAGCGGCTAGCCTGGCATTGAAAGATCCTCATGGTTCCCCACCCTTCACCTCTCCCTGATTCTCCGTGTCTTTCCCCACGCTCCACCTTCCTTTCAGTTGCAGCCACATTGGAATGATTCCAAAAAATACTGAGCACCTACTGCTGCCAGGCCGCAGAGTCCCTGCCTTTCTGGGACTGACATTTGGGAGTGCAGGAGGGAACTCTTGATTTTCTGTCCTTCCTCCCTCTGAGAGTGACCTGTGCTTGTCCTGATAGAGCCCCATTCTCTGTGTCCTCTCTGGCTCCCCATGGCAGGCCCAGTCCATCCAGGTCGCTGCTATATTTCTGGGCTTGGTGCCTTTTGGCCGCAGTGACGTCTGCCTCATGAACCTGACCCCCCTCACTTTGTGTCCACAGAGCTATGCCAAGACCAAGACTAGAGCTGAGGTGCGGGGCGGTGGCCGGAAGCCCTGGCCACAGAAAGGCAGTGGGCGTGCAAGGCATGGCAGTATCCGCTCCCCAATCTGGAGAGGAGGCAAGTGGGCAGGGCGGGCCGGAGGCTCTGGGCTAACTCGGGGTCTGGATGTTTCTCTCTACACATCTGGCATGCTGTCTTGTTGGTCCCATTCCCTCTACCCCGCCTGGGGCAGCGACAGCAAGACTCAGACGCACACACCTCACCGCCCACATGCAGGCAGAGGGTTGTTCACTTTTCCCATCCCCCGATTCTCCCCGACTCCCCACCTTCAGCCAACTCCGGCCTTGGCCTCTCTCATCAGACTATGGCCACAGCCCCTTCTGGCCCTGCCTCACATCTCATCTCTCCTGGCCCACATCACACAACACTCAGAGGATCTTCTTAAACCTCCCAGCTTCTGCCTTTGCATGAGCTCCTTACCTTGCCATTCCAGGCACTGATGGCTGCTGGACCCTCCCCATGTCCCCTTCACACCCTTTCCGCCCAGATAGCTCTGACTTAGTCATCTCCCCTTTGCCTGGTCAACTCTGCTCATGCTTCTGGTGTGTCGGGGCCATCTTCCTCCAGGCAGCCCTCCATGACCTCCCCTGGATTCCCTGTCCGTCCACGCCCACTCCCAAACTCCTAGGCTGCCATGCCCAGCCCTGATTCCCTCCGCGATCAAGCCTCTGTAGGAATAGGAATGGCGTGAGGGCGGGGATCCTTCCATCTTGTTCTGTGCTGTATTCCAGAGCCCAGGGGGAGGGTGGACATACAGGTGGACAATCCTCACTCGGGGTTTGATGGCTGAAGAAACAGAGGCCTAGAGAAGTGAAGTTACTAGTCTCAGGGGATGCCTAATCAGGCCTCCCCTCCATCCTTCCCTGCCCTCTTTGCTGGAGTTGAGCCTGACTGCTGGCAGCTTACCCACCCCCACCCGCTCACCTACCACTGGGGCTGATTTTTTACATCCAGTTCGAGCTGGGCCCTCACCTGTTCACACCTCTGTGCCCACAGGAGGTATTGCCCATGGCCCCCGGGGCCCCACAAGCTACTACTACATGCTGCCCATGAAGATGCGGGTGCAAGGCCTCAGAGTGGCGCTGACCATCAAGCTGGCTCAGGTACAGCCCCGGTCCTATTGGGAGCCCCTGGGGTGTTTGTGTGCGGGCTGTGAGGGCCTGGGAGATGGTAGCGCAGACCTCTGTCCTTCCTCCCATCAGGACAACCTGCACATCGTGGACTCCCTGGAGATGCCAACTGCAGACCCTCAGTACCTGACGGAGCTGGCCTGCTACCGCCGCTGGGGGGACTCCGTGCTGCTGGTGGACTTGTGAGGATGCAGGCCGAGCGGGGTGGGGCTGAGCTCCGCCCTCTGCAGGCCTCACCTCCGGCCTCTCTTTCAGAGTGCACGAGGACATGCCTCAGAACATGGTGGCTGCCACATCAGGGCTGAAGACCTTCAACCTGATCCCAGCTGTGGGTGAGTGAAGGGTGCAGGGAGTGCCTGGGCCAGTTTAAGTCCTGTATCTGCCGCTCAATCACTGAGTGGCCCTGGACAGTAACTACCCTCTACGCCATCCCCCCCTCATTCCCTCCCCCGCCCCCCGAATCCTCAACAGGCCAAACGAAGCACTGGGAGAACGATGTCTGTCTTAAATGCTCTGATACCATGTTGTCCAACTGCGCTCACAGTGCTGGGCGTGGAGTGAGTGCGAGAGCCACTGGCTGTCCCCACCTGGCTCCTCGCTCAGAGGCAGAGAGGCCGGGTCAGGTCTGTCCTGAGTACAGCACAGCTTTGCCCATCGACTGATTCCGAGCTCTCTCCCAGTCTCCTGGTTGCATTCCTGCTGCCTCCTGGGCATCTCCTTCCCTCCAGTGGCCTGGGCCCACACCACGCCGTCACCCTCCGCCCCAGTGAGTCAGCTCACACACTTGGCTCTGTCTCTACACATCCAGAAGCTGACCGCTTCTTGCCACCCTGGGCCAGCCCGCTGCCTTGATCAGCACAGCCCCCTCTGCTCTCATCCCCACAGTCTGTCCCCCACCCCAGCTGCCAGACGACAACCTGTGAGCACCTGAGTCTGCGCACATCCCTCTCCAGCTCTGCATGGCTCCCCCTGCACTCTCGGGGGTGGTGGGGAGCCCAAGTCCTCCCCAAGACCCCCCCAGGACCTGCATGACCTGCCTTGTCCCATCCCTGCCCTCCCTCCTCCCTCTCTCCTTCCTTATTAACTGCAGCCCCACTGGGTACCTTGGTACATTGTTTTTCTTCATTTGCTCTGTCTGTGGTTGGTTCCATCCATGGGAATCATGGCCAAGCAGAGGGCAGAGCCAGGCACGTGGGAGGCTCTCAGTCCGAAGCTGATGGGTTGACAGTCCCTTGCCCAGGGTTCCCCCATGGTGAGCTGCTGAGCCAGGGTTTGAATCCAGGCTGCAGGGCTCTTGACCCCATGCCAGACCATGGTATCTCTGTAAGGGGAAGTGCTCCCGGGAGGAGGGAAAGGGGCTGCAGATGGGTACAGCCTTGCCCTGACTACACTCCCTGCCTCCCCAGGCTTGAACGTGCACAGCATGCTGAAGCACCAGACACTGGTCCTGACCCTGCAGACTGTTGCCTTTCTGGAGGAGAAGTTGCTCTGGCAGGACTCACGCTACTCGCCCCTCTACCCCTTCCGCCTGCCCTACTGCGACTTCCCCTGAGCCCGCCCCTGCGCCCCAGGGCCCACCAGCTGCCTTCCTTCCTGCAGTGTCCATGCCAGTGCTGCTGAGCCTCGCAGAGACCCCGGCGGCTGTGAGGGCAGCACTGCCCAGGCTCCCTCGTCCCAGTAGGAAGCTGAGGCCGGGAAGAGTGGTGGGGCAGGCCAGGCAGGCCACACGGTCATGACCGGGAAGGGCAGCTCGGCAGAGAGCCCAGTCAAGCTCCCGTCCAATTCTGTCTTCTGTTTTAAAGATAAGCTTTATTTTTTAATTACAGAGGAGAAACAGAACAGCTCGTTGCCATGTTGTGGATAATTCCAGCTGGCAAGTCGGGCTCTTTCCTCGGTGCTGGGCACCGCCAGTCCCTCTCCTCAAGGGGCGACCTCAGTGCTGTTTATAGGAATGGCTCGGAGTTAGCTTCCCTGGGTGAGAGCACTGCCCTTTCCTGGGAACCTGCTCCTGCCACGGCCTGGCTCTCGGGCGCCCGGACCCTGTTAGGAGAGCAGGCGTACAGGAAGCTGGGAGCGTGCCTGGGACAGCTAGTGCCGGGGGGATGTGGTTGCTCACAGTGCTGTACACCTGTTTCCTAGCAGGCTCTGGGTCCCCTTTGTTATGGTCCTTCGGTCCAATGTGGGGCCTTGATTCCACTAGTGGGTGCCATGTGCGCTCCTGATTTCCCCTGAGCTCAGAATCAGAATCACGGTGGTCAATAAATGAGAGAATAAATACATTTTTTTAAAACACCAAACCAGTATCCCAATTCTTGCATCTGCTGAATTAATCCTTCTGTTGCCTCCAGCTCCGCACGGCTCCAAGTTAATTTTTAAAAAATATATATTTTATTGATTTTGTACAGAGAGGAAGGGAGAGAGAGAGTTAGAAACATGGATGAGAGAGAGTCATTGATCAGCTGCCTCTTGCACACCCCCTACTGGGGATATGCCCACAACCAAGGTACATGCCCTTGACCGGAATCGAACCCCGGACCCTTCAGTCCCCAAGCTGACGCTCTATCCACTGAGCCAAACTGGTCTCTGCTCCAAGTTAATTTTTAAAATAATCATAATACAGCCCAGCAGGCATGGCTCAGTGGTTGAATGTCTACCTATGAACCAGGAAGTCACGGTTCGATTCCTGATCAGGGCACATGCTTGGGTTATGGGCTTGATCCCCAGTGTGAGATGTGCAAAAGGCAGTCGAATGGTTTTCTCTCAACATTGCTGTTTTTATTTCTCTCTCCCCCTTCCTCTCTGGAATCTTTAAAATATTTTTAAAGATATCATAATACAGACTATAAAATAATGTGGCTGATTTTTTTTGAAGTCACCCAGAACTGTCATCTGTGTGCAGGCCCAGCCAGGCCGGGCAGCCACAGAGACCACCCACCAGCTGGGCTGTCCCTCACCAAAAACATCTCTGAAATGCTTCCCTTGGGAGTAACTTCAGAACTTGAAACACATTCTTTGAAAATTCTCAATGGACATAAAGTTTGACCCTTAAAGCACCAGATTTGGCTAAGTAAACAACAGGAAAGTCATTTGGAGCCGGTAGTAAGAAGGGTTCAGAGGCTGAGCAGGAAGTGCTGTGTGGGCTTGAGACGGACTGTTACCCGCTTTTCCCTGCGCCTCTGACCGACCCTGTGAGGCGTCAAGGCCTGAAATAAGACCCAGCTGTTGTCCTGACAGCACCTAGCCTAGTCTAGAGAGTCAAAACTGGAAGTAACAGGCTCAATTGTCTACAGCACAGTCATCAGGAAACCGAACGTTCAGCCCCTGCCCAATGGATTTTCAAAAAATGGGTCAGGACATGTTTCCTGTACTGAGTCCCTCAGCCAGATCAGAATGAAAAAAGGCCCAGCCGGTGTGGCTTTGTGGTGGAGTGTGAGTTGGGAGGTCATGGCAATTCTCCGTCAGGGCGCATGCCACATTGTGGGCTGGGTCCCCAGGTGGGTGTGTGTGCAGGAGGCAGCCAACCAGTGATTCTCATCATTGGTGTTTCTATCTCTCCCATTCCCTTGCTCTCTGAAATTAATAAAAATAAATTTTAAAAAGTGAAAAACGGGTTGGAAGCAGCTGGGAAGTGATCGATGGAGGAAAAAAGGAGACATGTAATACTTTAAACAATAAAGAATTTAAATTTAAAAAGAATGAGCTACGCCTAGGTGGTTAGGCTCAGTGGACAGAGCGTTGGCCTGCAGACTGATTCGAGCCAAGGCCGCACGCCTGGGTTGCTGGCTCAATCCCCAGTGGGGGATGTGCAGGAGGCAGCCGAGCAATGATTCTCTTTCATCGTTGATGTTTCTATCTTTCCCTCTCCCTTCCTCTCTGAAATCAATAAAGATATAGTTTTTAAAATGTTTTTTAAAAATGAACTTGGCTGAAACCATTTTGGCTCAGTGGATAGAGAGACAACCTGCGGACTGAAGGGTACCGGGTTCGATTCCGGTCAAGGGCATGTACCTTGGTTGCCAGCACATCCCCATTAGGGGTTATGCAGGAGGCAGCTGATCGATGTTTCTAACTCTCTATCCCTCTCCCTTTCTCTCTGTAAAAAAATCAATAAAAAAATATATTTTTTAGCCGGGACCGGTTTGGCTCAGTGGATAGAGCGTCGGCCTGCGGACTGAAAGGTCCCGGGTTCGATTCCGGTCAAGGGCATGTACCTTGGTTGCAGTAGGGGGTGTGCAAGAGGCAACTGATCGATGATTCTCTCTCATCGATGTTTCTAACTCTCTATCCCTCTCTCTTCTTCTCTGTGAAAAATCAATAAAATATATAAAAAAATAAAAAAATGGCAGATCTTAAACAGGACAGTATATAGCCATTAAATGACGTCAATTTAAAATATATATATATATATATATATATATATATATATATATATATATATATATATTTTTTTTAAATGAGCTAGTAAAAAAAAAAAAAAAAAGTCCAGCCCTGACCAGTTTGGCTCAGTGGATAGAGCGTCGGCCTGTGGACTCAAGGATTCTGGGTTCGATTCCAGTCAAAGAACATGTACCTTGCTTGCGGGCAAATCCCCAGTAGGGGGTGTGCAGGAGGCAGCTGGTCGATGTTTCTCTCATCGATGTTTCTAACTCTCTATCCCTTTCCCTTCCTCTCCATAAAAATCAATAAAATATATTTTTTAAAGAAAAAGGTCCAATGGCTAGAACATGCTTTTAAATGGTGGGAGTGGGGTGGGGGTGGGGGAGGGAGTGTGAGCTCAAACTGCCATAACACAGATTGGGGGGGAGGGAGGCTTCAACAACAAATGTATCAGCTCAACTCTGAGGCCAGAAGTCCAAGATCAGCAGGGTTGGCCCCTGAGTCTGTGTGGAAGAATCTGTCTCATCCCTCTCCCCTGGCTTCTGGTGTTTGCTGCCAATCCTTGGTGTCCTTTGGCTTGTAGACATATCACCCCAATTTCTGCCTTCATCTTCAAATGGCATCTCCATGTGCATGCACGTGTGTGTGTGTGTGTGTGTGTGTCCAAATTTATCCTTTTTATAAGGACACCAGTCATGTTGGGTTAGGGTCCACCATAAGACCTCTTCTCAACTTCATCATCCTCAAAGACCGTATCGCCAAATACAGTCATATTCACTGGTACTGGAAGTAAGAGGAGTTTCTCTTTTTCTTTTTAATTTATTATTATCATCATCATCATTATTTTGCAGGGAGGAGAAACAGTTGAGCCTATGACAGTATATAAGGGGAGAGATGGAGCAGGATGGGCTGTGAGAACTGGAAGTTGGCACATGTGGCATCATCATATGTCTTTTCTGCTGTTGCCTATGTTTGAAAATCTCTATAATAAAAAGCCTTTTTAGAGAGAGAGAGAGGTGAAGACATTTCTTCGGGGGAGGAGGGAGCTGTGCTACCTGCAAGTCCCCATCCCACCCTCTTGGGACAGGGCTAGCCCAGAGCCCAGAGAGGGAGAGGACTTCACAGCTTTTGAAAAGTGTCCTTTGTAAAGGCAGGCAGGACGTAGGCTGGCTCAGGCGAGGAAAGCTGGGACCTGGCTCCTGGGAAACGTGGAGGACAAGAGGCAGCCCTGATGGAGCCAGAGGGTCTGCTCTTGGTGCTCAGTTGACCTGGAAGCAGGATCAGATTCCCCAACCCAGCGAAGGGGTCCCCAGGAAAGAAAAAGCCTCAAATCACATACCCACCAAATCCACCAGGGGGCGCCACTTGAACACACTGCTGGGTCATCCAAACAGGACAAAGCCGTTAGCCAAGGAGGAACTGCCCTGTCCCCTCCTCCCTGTGTCTAGGCAGAAGGGACCCAAAGGCTGGTGAGAGGGGGAAGGGTGGGCAGAAAGAAAGTCAGTGGCAAAGGGACCAAGCCCCTCTTCCCCATTGAGGCCTCCATCCTGAAGAGGCTTGATCCCGGGCTCCCATCAGACATCAAGTCAAGTTTGGGGATTTGGATGTAATGCTGATTCGGGCCTGCGTCCCAGTGGGAATTCTCAGGTAGAGCAAATTCCACTATAGAATAAAGCGGTCGAGGGAAAAGCAATGTCGCTTTGATGACATCCAACTGCATGAATTTTCACTCTGCACCCTAGGACCACTAGGGGGAGCTGTAGTGCAGTATGAACATGATCTGTGGGAATCCAAAGGAGGAAGCATGCATTTTTGCCCAGGGGAGTGTGAGATGGATTCTCAGAGCAAGTCCTCCAGAAACAAACAAGAGGTATAATAAGTACTACTCTCTGTTCTCACATCCACCCTTTGAGATGTGTGTTTCCAAGTTCTGTAGCTGAAGCCATTAAGGTGCAAACAGGGGAAGTGGCTTGCTAAAGGTCACAGCGTGTGACCGGGACTCTCGGCACTGTCAACAACCACATCCCCTTGGCACCCGCTGTCCCAGGCATGCTCCCAGCTTCCTATGCTGGGCTGGTACACCGGAAAGCCAGAAGGACTGGAGAACCACAATGAGCTACTACTTCCTACCCAATAGGATGGCAATATAATAATAATAAAAAGTAAGTGTTGACAAGGATGTGGGGAAATGGGAACCCTTTGAACCATTGCCCTCTGTTGGTGGGAATGTAAAATGGTTCAGCCACTGTGGCAAAGTCTGGCAGTCCCTCAAAAAGTTAAACATGGGCCAAAACCGGTTTGGCTCAGTGGATAGAGCGTCTGTCTGTGGACTAAAAGGTCCCAGGTCCGATTCCAGTCAAGGGCATGTACCTTGGTTGCGGGCACATCCCCGGTGGGTGGTGTGCAGGAGGCAGCTGGTCGATGTTTCTCTCTCATAGGCATTTCTGGCTCTCTATCCCTCTCCCTTCCTCTCTGTGGAAAATCAATAAAATATATTAAATTAAAAAAAAAAAAGTTAAACATGGAATTACCATATGATCCCAAATTCCACTTCCAGGCATATACCCCAAAGATCCTACAACATGTTCATACAAAGACGTATAAATACTCAGAGCAGCATGATCCACAATGGCCTAAAGATGGAAACAACCCAAATTTCTATCGACTAATGAGTGGATGAACAAAAAGTGATATGTCCATGAAAAGGAATATTATTTATACTAATAAAAGGGATATATACTAATTAGGCCGGGAGACCTTCTGGACATCCTTTTGGACAAAGCCATGGTGGCGGGGCTGAGGCAGAGATGGTTAAGGGCGATCAAGCCAGTGGGGGAGAGCAATTGGGGACAAGCAGGTCAGCAAGTGGGGGCAGTTAGGGGTGATCAGGCTGGCTGGAACAGGGGTAGTTGGGAGTGAT